GGTGCTCTTATTTTATCCATACATATATTAAACAAGTAATTTTGCCGTATTTCAGTGTCTATCTCATGAAATTGATTCACACAATAAAAATCCCATATGTTTTATACGCGCTCGGCTACGAGCCGTCACTTCGTGAAAACAAAATACAAGCGTTCTGCGTGATTTGTGTTTTCACGAAATGACGGTTAAGTTAAAAGTTCATACAGAGACATTCAGTTTATTCTTATCAATAAAAAAAAAATAGCTACCAAACGAGGAAAATGTACTCTATCTCTCAGTTCGCATTATTTTATCTGTACATCAATTAAATAAAACATAATGCCGTTTTTAGTGTCCATTTCGAGAATTCCATCCACAAGGGAAAAGTCCCATACGTTTTACGCGCGCGGCTACGTACCGTCACTTCGTGAAAACAAAATACAAGCGTTCTATGCAATTTGTGTTTTCACGAAATGACGGTTGTGTTAACAGTTCACACAGAGAAATGAAAAAGCAGCTACAGAAAGAGGAAAATGTACTCTTTCTCACAGTTTGAATTATTTTATCTGTACATCAATTAAACAAAACGTTTTGTCGTATTTAGTGTCCATTTCGGGAATTCCAACCACGAGAGAAAAATCCCATATGTTTTACGCGCGCGGCTACGTACCGTCACTTCGTGAAAACAAAATCACAGCGCGTCCTTGAATTTCGTGTTTTCACGAAGTGACGGTAATGTTTACAGCTCATTTCCCCAAAAAATATAAGAAATTATGGAAATATTTAAACATAGAATTAAACATTAAGATATTTTCTATCCCAGGATATAAAATTTATTTGCCTTTGATACATTAAAGAGGTTGAGATTATGGTTTGAAACTTTGAAAGCGATTTATTCAAAACTAACTTTCTTTTAGTTGCGCGCTCTACCGTCACTTCGTGAAAACAGGGACGATATATGTAACTTATTCAATTGTTTATCTTTTGGGTCTACCAATATAGTTTTAATTAAGTAAAGTGTTTTTAGCTTATTTCCTATTATTGTCGTGTTATGGTTGTGAATCTATCAGTGTTATATTACTTTTGTTTATATGTCATGATTATGTTTTTTTATCGACACGGCCCTGATTGAAACCAGTCTGCGAACTGTTCCGGGCTTTTACCGTGTATGAATAGAATAAACTCAACTCAACTCAACTTGAGCCTAACATTTTTTTGTTTTGCTATCAAATTTGTATTTCCCGTATTACTTAAGGTTATAATCGTGAGCCATTTGAAATCAGTAACGACTACAATGAATAACTTCCCTATATTTTGTGTCCAGGTCCAATGCGTTAAATAGATGATCACTTTAGTCAGTTTAAACATATTTGTGGCTTACACCCAGTAAATTAGATCATTTGATCGATCTGTAATTGAAAACAAGTCAGAAAAAAATCTTGGAACCACAAATATGTTTAAACTATTGAAATTTCTCCCAGGAAGCATTACATTTACACTTTAGTAAGACTTAAAAAAGAAGAAAAAAGAAAGGACTCCCTAAACATAACAGAATTAATCGAATAATTATTCAATCTAGACTTTTCGCTGTGAGAAACTAACAAAAAAAACAAGCAAACAAATTATGTTTTTGTTTTTTTTGGATTTTTTATTTTGATCTTATATTAACTACCTTTGACCATCTTGTAATCTCTTTCTTCGTTTTCTGTTATATGTTCTTTTTTATCTTCCTCTTCTCCTCCAGATTTTCATTTACTTCTTGTTCTTTTCGATCCTCCTCCTCCTCCCCTCCATCTCCTTCTTCGTTTTATATTCTTCTTCTTCTTCATTTCCTTCCCTTCTTCATCCTCTTCTTCTTCCTCATCCTCCACTCATTTTTTTCTTCGCCTCCTTCTCCCTCATGACATGTCTCTCTTCTTATTCATTATCTCCTTTTCTCCCTTGATGGTGTTCTTGTTATTGTTGTTGTTAATGACATTGTGGATATTGTGGAGGTGTGGTGGTATAGTAGTTCATTCATTTGACTCTTGATCCAAGGATTGAGGGTTCGAATACCAATCTAGCATTAACGTAATTTGGCAAGGCAATAACCCACAGTTGACCTTCTCCACCCAGGTGTAAATAGATACCAGACAATCGCTGTGATAACAATGATTGCAGGTCCCTGGGGAAAAACAGATTTGAAGCTGAGGAAGATTCCCTTAGTAAATAAAACTATTATTATTATTTTTATTTTTATGCATTAGTCTTTTTTAGTAGGGTGGCTCCATCAGTAGTTAAAAACTGTTTTCCGTGGAGGCCCTACAACATGATTACAAAATTTACAAACAGTTATGTAAACAATCCAAATCGAAACTAATGAATTCAGTGACAACAGTATTATTTATTATAATAATTATTATTACTATTGTTATTATTATTATATCCATATATTTGTGTCATTATTATCATTCCCTTTATCTTATCATTACTTTTATCATTGATGTTATTAAATATATAATTTTTGGTTGTTATCGTTATCATTATTACTATGATTATTATCATTCGCAAAAACAATAAAGGTATAATGGTAGTAGGGGAAGTCGATTCCCTCATATTTCTCCGCTGCATGACCAGTAATGATGGAAATGTTTCACTTTCCTTTTCTTCTCCACACTTAGCCTTACCCACACCCTCACTAATCGAACACGCACGCACACATAATTCCCCTTAAATAGAATATAATGCACCCCATCCCCTCACACCCACAAGCGTACCCCCATACTATAAATGAGGAGGGATATAGTTGTGACAATGGTCGATTTATGGAGAATCAAAAAGTGCCCTCGGACATATATCTTTTTAATGAGAGGGAACAAGTTCTGCATTAAATGAATTTGGAGTTGAACGAGTGCAACTTCCGGTAATGGAAGTTATCATAGAACTATACCTCTACTCCAATCACACGCATACTCACGTACGCACCCACACAAGCAACACCCACCGACGCCCCCACACACCTTCCTATAACCTACCAACACACACACACACACACGCACACACACACACACACAGACACACATCCTTACAAATCACCAAGTACATTAATTTCAATTTAACAATTATGTGGATTGAATATAAGATCCATTTTAATATTTTGCTGAAACACAGACACAGGCATATAATTTTAGAAGGTCATATATGTTTATTAAATATCAAGGTATGTAAGCATTCTATAACGCGAATCAAGCAGTAAACATAGCAATAATTATATCACGTTAGAAAATTACGATAATTAACAGACACAACTTACTTGTTATAGAGTCTGTCTCTAGAATATATCCACAATATTTAACAGAAATATGTACTTAACAAGGTTTGTTGATGAATAAAAATAATACTTCCTTTATAAGGAGAACATAATATATGTTTATTAAATATCAAGGTATGTTAGCTTTTTATTACATGGTTCAAACGGTAAACAAAGCAATAATTATGACACAATTGAAAATTACGAAAGTTAAAAGACACAAATTCCTTTATATAGTTGTCTGTATCTAGATCTTATCGACAATACTTTCAAAAATCTGTACTTCACAACGATTGTTGCTGAATACGATAATACGAATGATTACACTGATTTATTACACTGATATATGGTCTACTAATACATAGGACTTCATGAATATATCCATATGATTACATGTATATATCCATAATGGTCTACGGATACATATGACTACATGAATATATCCATATGATTACATGTATATATCCATAATCGTCTACAAAAAATAAAGCAACACAATAAACGGCTCTATATAACATAATACTTATGAAGGAGACATAAATACAACATTGCAACTATATGAACATGCATTATACCTGCATGTTCACTATGTGGAATACAAACAACAGCAATAATCTTCCATAGGAAGCAAGAAAATCGAAAGGGTTACACCCAATTCCGATAGAGGGAGCCCTTCATTCAGGTCAAAAGTAGCCCGGTTTTTCATTGTTAATAACTTTCTTTTTTTATATAATTACAACATTACAGTGTGAGTACCATGTGAGGTTGAAACACAAATAGGTAAATACCCCATTAATAATTATGTCCGAGTTATTATTAATTCATTTTGTTGTTACCCTCGCCCTTTAAAACGTATAATAGTAAGATTAAAACTCATTGTATATATATATGTATATATACATTTTATGAGAAATAAAATGAGAGAATAATGGTTTCGTAGCTTAAATCAAAGATTCCCAATGCTCTCATCCCTTTTTGTGATTTTCTTCAAAAGTTCGCGAAAATTCTCGACCGGGAGACATTTATGTTTTATAGATTAACCGGGTTACTTTTCACCTGAATAAAGAGGCTTCCTAAGATACATACATTAAATAGGCACTATAAGCGCTTATGATGTTTTATGATTAACAAGTAATCATTTTGTTTTACATATCGGTTCATTATAGAACAAGAACATAACATAGTAGATAGCATAATATGTCAAAAACGTTAAATAGGCACTATAAGTGCTTATGATATTTTATGATTAACATCAATCATTTTGGTTTACAGGTGAGTTCATGAAAGAACTAGAACATTACATAGTAGATAGCACAATTTGTCATTTCATAGAAATGATTTTATAAACACAGATATTGATACACAGGAATAAATATATAAATATGTTTCAAAAGCTCTAAAAGATTAAACATTTGCAATTTCTGTATAATCAGCAGCAAAATTCCCAACTATATCTGACACTCAGATCTCAGTACAGAGACATAGATAGTGTCATATGAATACGTGGAAACAAATATTTGACAGAATTTGTTATTCCTGGAGTATAGCCCCAAAACTCAGGAACCGAATTCACTATCAACTTCCTTCAACGAAGCTTTCATGGAAGGAACAGTTCATATACGCATGCCGACATCTTTTGAATACAGAGGTAAATATCACATAAATAAATACTCACACACGCATAAATAGATAAATAGATAAATAGATAAATAGATTCATAATCACACTATCATATAGACGATGAGGTACATACACATGAAATCATTTTGAACAGGTATATCATAATCATATATATTAAAAGGGATTTGTAAATACTTTTAAACATATCTGTTTGAGAGAGATAGTTACGTCACCGGAAGTTGCTACTGATTGGTCAGGCATTTCATAAAAACTCACAAATAGTTTCCTCTCTTTAATACACATTGTACCCGGGAGGGAGCTATTTAGAGCTCCATTGTTTAACCTATGACCCATCTCGAGAATACGTATACATTCGCGTGTCACAACTATCTCTCTCAATACGCTATCGTTTTAAACAGTCAATAAATAACAAAGGCAAAGATAACCTACGGCACACGTAGTAGTACTGAATGAAAGGACGCCCTCACTTGAAATGAAATGTAGAGAAGATGAAGTCACAATTGTTAATTAGGTAGTTGGTCCTCTTGTTTCAAAGTTGAAACCCTCATACTGCAAGCCTCCTGGCACATACACAAGCCACTGGAACTTTGGTTGTCTGCTTCTCATAACTACAGATAGTTAAACAGAATAGAGAGGGAGAAAGATACATTTGAATGTTGCAAAAAGACTTGTACAAGTTGTGATGAAAACACAGTGCTCGTCCGAATAAAATAAAATAAAATTATATATTAGGCTATTATTATTATTATTATTATTATTATTATTATTATTATTATTAATATAATTGACATTTCATGTCAGTAGTTGAAAGCAATTAATTGGAATAAAATACTTTAAAGAATTTAGTTATTTTATTGTATTGATTAAAATGACCACAAAAGTGAAATATCATTTAAATCTTAAGATTTTCAAAAGAATATATTCTCGCATTTTCGTTTTGTGTTTTTATAGTGCCCCCGTGATACATACTAACTCCCGACTTTGTCGAGTGTGATGTGCCATGACTAGCGGCATGTTCACTTGGTCTGTCTTCGCCTACACACTGGCTCAAGCCATCCCGGTTCGAAATTGAGTCACGTCTTTTGGATGGTGACATTAAAGGTCGTTCTCTAGACGTATAATATATACGTAATCATATAATCATATAATAATCATATCTGATTGATACACGTCTATTAAAACCCCATTACACACACGCAAGCACCCTCCCCAATTTCTAACTGGAAATAACTTTTAGTAACATCATTCTCAAATGCAGCCTTACAGATAAGCAACTGTTACTACTGATTGCGGACTTACCGGTAAACACCACCCACACATTGTCCGCGTCTAAGCGTCTCCATCTCGCGTACAACTGGCATGCAGTCAACGCCTGGGTTTGTAATGAAGCCATTGTTGTAAGGGTTAATACAATCACGGCACGCGCATCTGGCGGAAAGTATGTCTTGTGGGTATCTGAGAGATGAAGAAAATAAAAATAACAACGTTAACTCATTCCATCCCACAGCAAACAATCTTCCGATGCTACATTATATTTATCATGGGATTCATATACCAAGGACTTCAAGATGATTTGTTAAATATATCTACTCTAATATTATTCAGTACAGGTGTTAGAAAGGTGGGTCAAGGAGCTTATCAAGACCAGTGATGGGTAATTTTGCAAAGCTAGTGTGTTGCACAAAACAGTCCCTCAGTCAATAATGTGGGTAGCTAGGGTTAAGTGCAACATTTCACGTGTAGCAAACGAGCAACCGAAGTGTTGAGTTTGAACCCATATAAATGACCGTTAAAGGTAATACAAAGTTTTGGGATTTTTTAAAATTGGATGGTGGTGATTATTTTCAATTTTGATATATTTGGATGCCCCTGTGTATGTAATATAAGCACTAGAAAATTTAGCCCCTAAAACACTTCTGCTTTCGAGAAAAATTGAATATAAAAATTTACCGGTGCTCCTGGTAAATTTTGATAAATTTAAAATAGCGCCGTACGGCCGTACAATGGTAGCTGCGACCATGAAAATTCAGAATATGTAGTTGTGATATAAAATTTCCAAACAGGAATAGCTAATTGGTCGATTTTAGTCAAGAAACATTGTTTTATAGCCTACTTAATATCTTGACCTTGAGAGGGAGCTATACAACATAAAGAGTTCATTATTTATAATTTTATAACTTTGGAATCGATTTCAAACGTTACAACGATCACTGAATATTGTAGGGTCGCATATGCTTCCAATATGTTCATTTGAACCAAATTTATGACCCCATACCAAAACTTTGTATTACCTTTATTAACAGGTTACGGAACAAACTGACAAACAATTCGAAATATGATTTATATTTAATTCCGGTGCCATCTAGTCTCTCATAATAATTGTTTTGCCCCTTTTCCCCCTCTTTTTGGAAATCTATTTGGATATGGCTGCGGTTAGCTGCGTCATAGCTGAACGATCAAGGCTTTAAAGCTAAAAAGGTCTTACCTCTCTACGTCTGTATCTGTCTCCATGACAAAAGGACATAGCGCTCTCGACTCGAGAGGCTCCTGATTGCGTTCCAAGAGCGACCTAGGGCATGTGTTGTTAAGATAGGAATGCTGGATCTCCGTGCCACTACCCGCGATAGTTTGGCCGTGCAGCATCTCATAAAGCATTCCCTCTGACGGGTCCCTGCAGGCTTCAGTTGCCGCCTGATCAAGGTTCGGTGCGTCAGCGTTTCTCTTGATGCGCGTTGAACCAGTAGCGCCATCAGATGCTTGAGTCGTAAAATGAATTCTGCTTGCAACCTCGACGAGTTCATTTTCTCCACTACCACTCGTAAAAGGAACTGCTGTAGCGCTCTCAACGGACGTGGCATCCAAATGAAATGCCGTGTTTAGTTCAATTCTTGAGGAAGTGATTGATAGAGTGTTTCCGGAGCTGGTGTCTATGTCAGGATTCTTTGAGTTAGGTTTCACTGTGAGGTAGACCGCTTCCTTTATTTCCTCATCATAAAGGTCACTTTCAGACGAGATTTCGTTTCCCTCCTGATCCCCACCAAAGGAGAGTCCTTGTCCTGATGTGTCGATTTCTTTCGTGTTCACGAGATACGCCTGGCCTAATGATTCGGTGTTACTGTTTACATCTGTTTTATGGTTTGGTAGTAACGACTGGATGACGGAGACTACCTTGTCATCAGAATGGTGTCTTCCAACAGAGAAAGCTAGGCATTGTGACATCATCGCGGTGAGAATAAGTAAGACAAGATCGGACGGTTGATACATTTTCTAAAAACGAACATAATAAAAAAAGGTGAGAAATTAGCATGAAATCAGTTTAAAGTTTAAAAAAGCGCAAATAATAAAACAAAACAATGTGAGAAGAAGAAAAAACATACAAACAGAGAATAACGATATCTCCGTCCCGAATAGGTCTTCAAATCCTGCTTAAATAAAGCATTAATATAAACATGCACAAAATAATATAAACATAACTATTAATAAAACTTAGGAGGTAATTTTCTGATCTTAATTACATTATTGTTGGTACTGTAAAGGAAAAGGAAATTTATCAATTTTTTGAGTATTGCATGAATTGGAGAAGTTTACACAACCAAGTCTAGGGGAAAAGGAAGCATTTAATTAGCTGGTGTAAGTTTCGGTCAAATATAACATCACATAAGTGTTCAGCACTTTTCCGGTAATGTAATACCAACATGATATATATATATGAACATTTTTATTTTTAATTGCCATCAATTTACATATTTATCCAAGGAAATTCCTCTTAGATTCAACCAAAGATAGATCTTAAGATAGCAACCAGTGAAGATTGCGTAAGTGTATGCCGTCATTGGAACAGGACTTCGCCGAATCTATGGCGTGATGCAGAAGATAATTATCTGGCAGTGGCGTAGTTAAGGTTATTTTAAAGAGGGGTTGGGGCGCTGAAAGTCATTATACAGTTTTTGTTTAATATGAAATGGTCATGCATTCATTTTCCCCAGTTACTGATAAAGTTTTTACACTGCCAACTCCTAATAAGTGGCAATGGCATTGCGACCGCGAGGGAATCTTCTGAAATACCATGAAAGTACAAGCAGATAAGGTAAAAACCAACAGAACAAACAACATGAAGAACAAAACAAATATAGTTTAAATCGATTTGATGTAACTACTAACAGATAAAAACATTAGATGAATAATTATTGATAACTCATATTAATTCCCCCCCCCCCCCCCCTCCAACAACAACAAGAAACCTAAAAAGAAAGCTAAAAAGCTGTTATCATTATTCCAAAATGTCCTTTAGAGTAAGGAAAAGAAAACATTTAAGAATAAATACATATACATGTACAATGATATAGGGATAGAAAGTGCAATTAATTTCATTAATCATTACAAATAAATAAACGTACCATTTTGATTTGACTAACTGGTAAACACTCTTTCGATGAAAACTCTCGACGCTGGTATTGCACAAATCTCAGTGGATTCTCAAGACTAAACTCCGCTCCTTTCCTATAAACAAATATTAAGAATAACTTCAAAGACAATTCCTCACTGCTCGACCATTAAGTATTACTTCTTTAGGTACTTGTATAATTTAGAATAAAGTGATATTAAGACTTGATTTCTCGTACACTTCTGATGCCCAAACGACTACCGTTCTTGCAATGATAAACCCTCAACCAATCAACCTGTTATATATCATTGATTGTTTAAACTTAGATTTGAATAAACAGGATGGGTATTTTTGCGCCATGATTTTGTTATTGTTTTCCTGCATAAAAATACGAGAATATTTTCATCTCAACCAAAATCTAATTTCGGAGGTGAGTGGGTATGGATCGAGGGGAAAGTCCCGGTTCTAGCGCAGTGTAGTCTGCTTTATGCCCTGGGTATAATTGTTGTCATGGCTGCCTACATGGATTGTATTGCATGGTCTATTTATAGATTACTTCCGTAAATTAAAGCGAAGTGAACGATAGTAGACTGGTTGAAGATTTCTAATGTTGTTTGTGGTTTGAACAACTTAGATTGAGTTAATTAAATCCCGGCGTTTATCAATAAAAACCTAGGCTCTTAAAATACATTTCACCTTTCCCCAAAACGTCAATAAACAGAAAAATAAAACAATACTATTGGGCCTATGTAATTTTTATAATGCGACAATAATCAATTTCGTAAAGAAATAAATGCAAAAGAGGCTTTTTGACAATGATAACAGTTATTTTACATTTAATTGTGCAACATTTATTTTACATTTAATTGTAAAATCAGTCATTTTACGTGTCATTATAAAATCTAATATTTTACATTTAATTGTAAATCTGGTATTTTACATCAAATTGTAAATCAGTTATTACACATTTAATTGTAAATCAGTTATTTTACATTGAATGGTTAATCGGGAAATTTACATTTAATATGAAAGCATTTTTTTTTTTTTCATATTCTTTGTTATTCATTGTTTTGCCCATGTAAAATGTGCATGTCTAATGTATTAACATAGTTTCATAATTTTTTTTAATTGTTTACTACCGATTTGTTATCTTTAAAAAATGTTGCCACTCGTTTATGATTGTCTTTGTTTATATTTGAATGCACAAAAAAAAATTGGTAAAATGGTTATTGAAATATTACTTAATATCAATTAATAATGTTGTTTTCAGGTACAGATTAAGTATAGTTCAAAGAGAGAGTAAGACAGCGAGTGAGTAAGCGAGTGTGAAAGAGAGACAGAGAGTGAGAGAAATAGAAAAAGCGTAAACGAGAGAGCGAGAGAGAGAGAGGTTTCTTACAAAATGTTTCACAGACCACAATTTCCTAAAACACATTTCCACCATCAAATCAAACAAACAAAGAAACGAGCAACGACTCACGAAAAAGCAGAAGAAGAAGAAGATCACGAAGAAGAGAAGAAAGAGAAGAAGAAAAACAAGAAAAAGAATAAATAAATATCGAACAAAATGAAAGATAGAGAGAATAAAGCAGGAAGGTGAGAGATAAGTTAAGAAAGAAAGAAAGAAAGAATAAGATGAACTCCAGGAATGAGATCGTGAAATTGTGATTGTCATCAGGCTAAATCATAAAACAACTCTAACGCTAGACCACTGTCAATGATACAGATAAACACTGATTTATGGGTATATTGAAACCAAAAATATTTTGATTTACTAAAAGACAGAACTCTTCGCCGGTTTTCCCTTTGTCAATGATTTCCTTTTTATTATCTTTAAAAAAAATATTTTGCTTGTAATTTTTCTTTCCATTTCTAAGCATTTGAAATATTCCGTTTAATAGCAAAGAATCAAATCTTTATTATCTTTCAATATCTGCCGAGTTTTCATATGTCTACTACCCCAATCTCTTCAGATGTTAAATACAATCATTATGAAATATTGTACGAGCTGTGTAATGTGTAATCATTTGATAGTAGCACAATGTTATTCCTATATTTATACATCAGATTCTTCAGTTTCTCTGACATCGTGTACATTATTTCTACCACGGTTATCTAATTGTTTGTATTTTCATATTTTTAAATTTGAAATCTAACCTCAAGTTCTTGTTGCAATAAAGAAATAAAATGATGAAATAGACATATATGACTGTAATGACAATTTGTCGTGAAAAAACAATGAACAAACAATTTTTAAAATTTGTGAAACTACAGTTATGCTAAAAAAAAGAATTTAAGAACATACATTTAGTACATGGGAACCGTCCGATCCTATGACTAAAAATAACTTACGTATACAAAAAAGTACAAATATTTTTCTTATATCTTTTTTTGTGGTTATATTTTAAAAAAATCTTAATCAAGTGATTTGCATTCCATACTCTCGTGTGCCTCCGTGAGATTTGAACATTGGAGACATTTCCTTTAAGAGTGAGTTTCCGCTGTTGCACCTTCGGAACAGGACATATGCCGAAATTTCCTTCGAGAAAACATTATGATTCACTTTTGAACAGCATGACCAAACGGGACTCCCGGCACAGAGAGCGAGAGAAAATACACGGATTAAGGGAATATGGAAGAGTTATTTCCCAATACCAATATAAAAATTAGATTAATACCCTTATTTTCGTAAAAAGTGGAGCTTAGAGCATCATCGATATTTTGTTTTATTATGAGCAACAACTAGCAAAAACTGAAAGTGGCATTTGTAAACGTTTTAATTGGGAAAATTTTATCAACGTTTTATTTCACAAATTTCCCTGCGTTTTAAGAATTAGGCTGGTATCAGTATATCAAACAAGAAGTGTTAATTCAAGGTTTGAATCATAATTGATAAACATAAATAATATATTTTATTTTTGGCACTTCTGACAAAAAAACAAAAAAAACAACAACAAACAACACGCCGACGTGCACCGAGATCTGTAAAAAGAAAAGGCATGATCATTTTTTCTTGGAAAGCAAGTGTTTCCGTATCTAAAAATAGCAAAGAAAAAGTCAATGAAAAAAGAAGCACGTTGTTGTATAGACATTGACATTTTTATCATAATTTGTTATCTCTAAAACGAAATCAATATAGAATCTTCTTTTATT